CACCCATACCAATATCTGGCACCACCAAATGCGCCGTAACGTTCGGAAATTCATCCATCCCAGTAGAATGGCACATTATCGACAACCCCTGCGAACTGGTACTTGCAGGACGAATCGCAGAAGAGCTCGGTATCATAAAGTTTGACGCCAAACCAACAGTTTTTCAACCTGTACAAATGATACACTCGACTGACAATAAAGAAACACTGCAAAACATTTTGCAACAGTTCCCACAAAATTTCGAAGGCTTGGGGAAGTTGAAGAACCACCAAGTCAAGCTACATGTAGACACCAGCATCAAGCCAGTCACCACACCTGCCAGACCAGTGCCATACCACCTGAAAGAACGGGTCACAAAAGAAATCGAAAAGATGATTAAACAAGACGTAATCGAGGAACACCCAGCCACCAAACCAGCTCCATGGATCTCCAATGCCGTGATAGCGCCGAAAGCTGATGGAGCAATACGTATGACACTTGACGCTCGTAACGTCAACAAAGCCATACAATCGTCCAACTTACCCATCCCCCGGCAAGAAGACATCAAAGCCAAGCTCAGTGGAGCAAGTGTGTTTTCAAAGATGGATTTCAAATCGGCTTTCTGGCAACTAGAACTGCAGCCGGACTCGAGATATTTGACAGTCTTCCACGCAAATGACAAACTATACCGATATAAACGTCTCACCATGGGAGTAAAGGCCTGCACAAGGAGAACTTAATATGGCTCTTCAACCTTTGTTTGCAAACATCCCCCAAGCACACCTTATCCATGATGACCTAATCGTGGCAACCACAACAAACACAGAACACAACGAAGCAATCGAAGCCGTCATGAACGCCATATCAAACGCCGGTATTACACTAAACCCGGATAAGTGCACGTTCGGAGTACCAGAAATCGGATTCTGGGGCCTACGTATTGGATCAGACGGCGTACGACCCGATCCTGCCAAAGTTGAAGCTCTTGACCATATGACACCACCACAATCCAAGGAAGAGTTGACCAGTTTCCTGTGTATGATGCAGTCTAACTCAGATTTCATCCCCAACTTCGCTCAGTTAGCGGCTAAACTGAGAGAATTAACGAAGAAACACGCCAGATTCGTGTGGAACACAGAATACCAAACAGCCTACGAAGTCCTGATTGCGAGATTCAAGCAAAACACGCTGCTTCAATACTTCGAGATGAGTACACAAACGTTTCTATTTACGGATGCACACCAGACAGGGCTCGGGGCGATGTTAGCACAAGGAGACAGCATCGAGAACGCACGACCAGTGGCGATAGCATCGAGAACGACCAACGCAGCAGAGCAAAGATATCCGCAAATTGACTTGGAGGCACTCGCAATCGATTTTGCTTTGAGAAGATTTCGACAGTATATCGTGGGTTCCCCTACCAAGATCCAAGTGATAACGGATCACCAACCTCTCTGCTCGATTTTCAATGGAAAGCGCCAAGGGTCCATCCGAACTGAAAGAATCAAGCTCCGCCACCAAGACATACGTTTTACCGTGACATATCAGCGTGGGAAAATCAACCAATCCGACTACCTCTCACGACATGCAAAACCAATCGAAGCTGACGCGCGAGGAACGGCAAGAAGCCGACGACCTCAACAACCTACTGTATATGCTTCACACCACCCCGATCATAGACTGCATGGGTATTGGAACTATCGCACAAGCTACCCAGAACGATCCAACCCTCAAAAAGATTGCAACACTTGTCAACCAGGGGTTAACCTGGATTGAAAAAACAGAGTCGAAAGAAATCCAACGTTTCCAGAAAGTACTTCCAGAGCTTACGATGACCGCAAATGGTATTATTCTGAAAGGCGAAAAGATCGTACTTCCAAGTAACCTCCAAGATACAGCCATCCGACTGGCACACAGAGGAGCTCACCCTGGCCAAAGTGGACTTGAACGACGACTCAGATATCATTTTTTCTTCCACAATATGAGTAAGAAAATAGAAGAATTCGTCAAATCATGCAACCACTGCAGTATGTTCATCGACAAAAAGACAAAAGAACCCATCAAACCACACCGGGTTCCTGAGAAATGCTGGGATACTGTATCAGTCGACCTATTTGGCCCGATGCCAACATCTAAACATGTGGTCGTTGTACAAGACTTAGCATCACGATTTCCAGCAGCGAAACTGGTTACATCGACAAAGGCAGACAAAGTTTTACCAGCTCTCAGCGAAATTTATGCAACGTACAGAAACCCCGAGGTCCAAATTTCCGATAACGGGCCTCCCTTCAACAGTGCTCAAATGCACGACTTCGCAACGAGCAAGTCCATCAAATTACAGAAGGCTCCACCACTTCACCCATCCTCCAATCCAGTCGAAACGTTTATGCGTCCTTTGGGAAAGGCCATGAAAATTGCATATCAAACCAGGGCTCCTGAAAAAGAAACATTGGAGAGAACACTAAACAACTATAGACATACACCTCACCCAGCAACGGGTATCCCTCCAGCAGCCATGCTGTTCCGAGATGGACAGCGCTACGACTTTCCGAGAACATACGCAACCGAAGAAGACGTAAGAAGAGATCGGGAAGCAGACAAACAAAAGAAAATTGATAACGAAAAAAAATAAACTCTTCTAAATACAGAAAGAAATCAAATTTCAACATTGGTGACAAGGTTTGTGTTAGAAATTACCAAAAATCGAGGAAGTTTGATCCCGTTTTCCTCGGTGAACCATTCAAAATCATCGACATGAATGACGAAGGAAACAAACTCATTGTCGAACATCAAGAAAACGGGTTTTCGTTGTGCCGTCACCCAGATGACGTCAAACCATTTATAGAACCAAACTATATCGAAGTCGAAGATGTTCAGTGGCCAGTAGGAGATGAAGGAGACATGGCGGAAGATCTCGGGATTGAGAAAAGCGGAGAAACTGCACCAACACTGAGACGTAGCGAGCGGAAAAAGACCCCCAATCCAAGATACATTTAGATATGTATCATGAAACTATTCATGAAAACTGATATAAACATGGGGATGATGAACCGATATACTTTATTATTATTATTTATATTAGGTTGAACAGTTTAAGTTAGGATTAATAAGGACACTTAGGATTAGTCACGGACAGTAGATACATTGAGGGATACTGTGGGATAAAGTAGGATATGGGAGAAGACAAGATGGCGGCGTAAACAAAATGTAAGCTATTTCGAAAAGACAAAATTATAACGTTTAAAGACTAAAATATATTTTTTCCGGCAATTGTTTTATGGTTGAATCTTCACGAAATAATTACAAATTTTAGATATAGACAAGCAAATTATATTTGCATGTATATCTTGACAGTTATTTAATGGAGGCCTCTGAAACTTGGCTAAACTATAAAAACAAAGTATAGTATAAACGTAGCCCTGTTGTTTTAAATGTCAGAAACTATTATTAGCTCATGACTCCATGTACAGACGTCTAATCCCACATCTTTGAATCCACACATTTTACAGCCTTAATTAATTATTTTCTTTAAATTGTTCTCAAAAGTAATGAACTGTATGAATAGCAGATATTTAGCTCCATATAAAAAGAAAATTTTTGTATGATTGTTATCAGTTGCCGTGATTCGGGATATAAATGGTTCTCGTCCTCTTAATTTAGAAGTCAGTGGTTAAATGTAAATATTATATCTGAAGCAGGCATATAATTTCAACTAGCACAATTTCGCACAATTGCTGTAAAAATGTGATTCCGAGAATGCAACATCAATGCAGTAAAGGCCTGATTCCACGAGCGTTTTTTCTCGGCAAAATGCGAAACATTTCTACTTACTGCGAAAGGGGACAAAGTGGGACAATTCAATACAATCGCTCATGTGCAACCACCGTATTTCGCAGACACAAGTTCTCGCGACGAATTTCGCCATCGTGGAATCAGGCCTTAAGGTCGAGACACACCGGACGCGATTCGACAACGTGACGCGATTTTTCAGTTAGTTTGAAAAACAGCCAATGAGAGCAAATCAGTTAGAAACATATGTAGACCAAGTAACTTAAAATGTTATAGCGCTTCTAAATATTTGGAAAATTTAAACTTGGATCAAAGTTATCGGTCAGTGAAAATCGAAAAATCGCGTCACGTTGTCGAATCGCGTCCGCCGTGTCTGGACCTTTAATGCGCAGATACATGTACACGGTCGTGTACCTATTTTTTCAGGTGTTGTTCAAGAGGCTTTAAGCAAGCAATATGAACAAGTACAAAATCCTGAGCTTAAACTGTTGTCTGAGTTGCTGCCAGATTTTATTCAACATAGCAAGGCAAAAAATACACAAACAAAATATACTCGTGGGTTTGAGTGGTGCCGGAGCTGAACCTTCAAATTTAATGAGGTCAATGTATTACCAGCCTCTAGTATCTATATTACTTTATTTTTCTTACAATTAATACAAGATAGTGTGTCAACGAGCGTTTTTGTCCTTACTGCTTTTGCGTCCATTGGGTTAGACAGAAGAATTTTGGCTTGCAGAGTTTAAGAGCTGGAGGTGCTCCCACTGCCGCAAATGCACATGTAAGTGATCGTCTGTTTAAAAGGCATGGCCGTTGGAAGTCGGAAAAATGTAAAGACGGATATATAAAAGATAATGTGGAGTCGCTTCTTTCTGTTTCGAAGTCTTTGGGTATTTAGTTATAAATACAATGATGTGCATGACGTGATAACCAATGCAACCTGTTTTTTTAGGTTCAGATGTTGGTAATGAGAACCATATTGGTGTCCTAGTAATAATTTTATGCCACAATAGTCCCTAAATGTTAGATGAAAAAATGTAGTGTGAAATATGATAGGGTAATGGCCTGGTGTTGGTGGCACAATCACAATGTATGCCTGTGAAAAAATGTTGTATTTGAAAAACCTGAGGATAAAATTTACACACATGACTTTCTCATCTCGCTTTATATATTTTACATGCCTCTATACAAGCTTTTTAGTACAGTGCGATCATACTCTTTGGGTCTGATAATTTTTTTTACACAACAGGATATATTTTAGTATTTTACTCTTACAATTTCACACATACATCTCCAATTTTATGTTCCACAAGTCTATAACCTACACTTATATTTCATAGGTTCACATTTATACAAATACAAGTGGTTTTTTATCTTTTATCCTCAGGTTTTTCAAATACAACATTTTTTCACAGGCATACATTGTGATT